GTCCTGCAGGCATCACCTGAAATAATTCCTGACACCTGGCAGAATTCATTCTCTAAACCCATCTTTTACCATCTTCCGGGTATCCATACGTTTGGTTGGAAAAAAACATTGCAGGCATAAACCAGGGACTGAGGGAAGGGGAAATGAGAAACAAAGGACTAACTTTTTAGGCTAAGAGAAAAACGTGGATGTTCTTGGTTTCATATCAGGTCGTCAGAAACGGATGAAGCTTTTTTCTATATTATTACTATTCTATATTATTCTATATTATTACTATATTATTACTATTCTATTATTACTATTCTCCTCTGGTGTAATTTTTATTATCATGTGTGACTAAGACTATAAGTTCCAGCATTCTGCTCTGCGGCTGAACTGAAATAAGGTTTCAATTTCTAAGATTCTGATAGTACTAAAATGGATTTTTTCCATCTGAATTTTACGGACACAGAATTAAGGAGGTTTTTTTTTTTTTTGTTCCAGACTGTAGCGGAATTAAAATGATGAACTTACCAATGAGCTTCCGGAGAGCAGAAGCCACTTCAAACATTTGAAAAAGTTAGAACTAAGGGGTTTTTTTTTATGACAAATTTGATTTTAGCAGAGGAAGAGGGACTCCTGCCCTGGCAGACAGATATTCTGCTCCAGTGTGAGAAAACCCATTCCAGTATCCGCAGCACTGCGAGGCCCTGGCGGTGTTGGCTCAAGAGGGCTCGGTGCATAGTGAGACACTTGTTACCCCCTCCACCGAAATTTCAGACCACGAGCTCTTCCTGCCTCTGATGTTTCACTCTTACACCAATGGTCGTAGCTGACTTTTAGCCTTCTTCGCCATACAGTAACGGGAGACAAATATTCCCACATTTTCCACCATCAGAACGACGCCCTCGTGTTTTGAAGTACCTGCAAACGACAGAATGCTCCTGGTTATCAACAAACGGGAGCTACCTGATCCCAACCAGTTCAGAAGAACCTTCCCTCCTTGATCTGCTTTTTAAGAAACCCAAGATTAAAGGCAGCAAAGACCCAGTATTCGGAATTTATGTCTCTGTAGTAGCTCTTAACAGAACAGCACAAAGCACCTGGCCGTGCCGATAACAGAATTTATCAGTAGGAATCAAACCAGATTGATGCGTTGTCCCCACGCACTGAACTGCTCAGAAAGTTGTACTTTTAACATTTAAACTAAAAAGACAGAATAGTAAGCAAAAACCTGGAATTTCCTGCTCGTGAGTTCTCCCACCAGGCTCCACACACCATTGAGCTGTTTCCACGTTTCTTCACAATAAAAGTGAAAATATCATGTAAATGATGGAAATAAACTGTCTGAAAACAGTAGGTGCCAAATATAATTTTTATTTTTTATTGTCTGATAACACTGTGATAATATAAACTGTATAAAGCACGATAAAACACTTCCATAAAATGGAGTAGGTACATATTATAAAATAAAAAATAACAATATTATGTTAACAAAAGGCAAATAAAACATTAAAAGGAAAATATTACAATAGAACAACAGTACCAGTTTCTTCCTGTATTCGAAAATTTATTGAAAACGTTTAAATTATGCAGCACTAAGATAAGTTACTTTTATTTTCTGTCTTGATTTTAAACATGCACTAACTCAAACAGAGAGAAAACCTATTGATCAATACAGAAAATGTTATTAATCACGTAACATCACATGTAGATTTAAAGAGGGATGCCGCAGTGGCTGTTAAAAGAAATGCTTTATAATTCCTTCTCTTCCCACGGGCTTACGGAGTTTTGCAATTAAAAACAGCTCGATAATTCACCATAAAAGGAACAGCCACTGAATTTGGTATAAAATCTGACAAACGAGCCGTTATGCTAAAAACTTTGTCAGAAAACTATCAAACGAAAGACCAGCTACGCTTCAAAGGGTCTGCGCCCAAAGTGGCCACCACCTTCGCCGGGACCCCGACCGCCCCATCCGAAAGCCAGAGGGTGCAACCTGAACCCTGTGAACATCCACAGAAATCCTGAGACCGAAATTCCACCTGCAGCTCCCGGAGAGAAACATGGGCGCCTTCTGACCACGACACTGCAAATAATCATAGAACGGTTTGGGTTGGGAGGGACCTCAAAGATCATCTAGTTCCAACCCCCCTGCCATGGGCAGGGACACCCTCCACTACACCAGGTTGCCCAAAGCTTCATCCAACCTGGCCTTGAACACTGCCAGGGATGGGGCAGCCACAACTTCTCTGGGCAACCTGTTCCAGTGCCTCACCACCCTCAGAGTGAAAAATTTCTTCCTTAGATCTAATCTAAATCTGCCCTCTTGTTTGGATCATCTCAGCAAAAGGAGCGCTCTTCTCCACCCGCTGCGGAGAGCTGGCCCAGCAGCCTGGTGGGCAACTGGGGAGGTGTTTTTCCCCTCTCACCTCGGCACACACCTCTGTGGTTCTTTCGCGCTCACTCTCAGAGGCAGCAATCTCACCCTCAACTCAACCATTCAGCCTCTTCTGTCACCTTCAAACTCCAGAAGAAAGCAGCTAAAGGAACAACAGCTGGGGCTGCCCAAGGCATCTGCTAAGCGTTAATCCTGGGAACTTTACAAAAAAGAAACAAGCCAGCCAAGCACCCCGAAAATGTGGGGCTCCTGGATCTGGCCACCAGTGACCTCGTCGGCTCCTTGTGCTCTTCCCCACGTCACGCACTTGCCAATCGCGTTATTTCAAAGGAGGCTGGAGGCTTCCGGAGGCGCGACGGTGTTTTTCCGTGCATTTGTGGAGTCATCTCAACACTTGTTGAGGTGCTACTGAAGTAATCTATGTCTATGCACGGTCTTTCATCACTCAACGTACTAAATATCTATTTTTAAAAACAGCCCTTAACACGTGAGCTACTTCACATTCTTTCCTAGGGACATTTTCTCCATCCCCAGTAAACGTTGTCACTGTCCCTTTGCCGAAATGTGATGCTCTTAATTGTGATCAAATGCAAAATCACCTTTAATTTATCTGTAGCAGTCAGAAATACATCAACTAACAACAATTTAACACACGGGTGCTACTAGCTCAAGAATTTAAGCAGCGTAATTTTGTGGAACAAGAGAGGAAAAGAAAATACAAGGAGGTTGGATCTTTTGCTGAGTGGATACAAACATTCTTAAACAGTAGTAAAGCGGGCTTCAATTTTTTGTGAAAATATTTCAGAATAAAATACTCAAGAGCAGATCCCCCTCAGCATCAGTTACAAGAGCTCTACCAGCATTAATAACCAGCTGAGGATCCTGCTTGATCTATAAACCCCATTTTTTTGACACCCGTTTGTTATCAAAAGTTTGTTGTTTTTTTTTTAAGAGACACCACTCGTGGAAGAAAAGTGAAAATTGAAACACAGCTTGATGAGGGAGTTTTGGTAAGGCCAAGACAGCCAACCATTATGAGTGAGCAAAACCTCCTCCAGGATAAGACACCAACCTCAACAGAGCTAGTAGGCAGCCAAGAGACTTGATACGTAGGGAGCTGCTGTTGCCTCGCAGGAGTTGGCAATTATTGACTTTTGAAAGCAAAGTCAGAGGAAATCTTCTCGTTGATACAAAGCAGAGCGAGATCCGGGACCAAGGCCAGGAATACATACTGTCTCTGTCATTAAAGTTTGAGTCTACAGTTTTTCTAACTCTGAGATCCGGGCTCAAGGCCAGGAATACATACTGTCTCTGTTATTAAAGTTTGAGTCTACAGTTTTTCTAACTCCATTTTAAGATACGCCCAGTTTACATCAATTAAAAATCAGACGACTGCCCCACTACGAGAAACCAATGTTTACAGTTTAGTAAGGAAAAAAAAAAAAAAAAGACCCTGAGCCCCACGACTCATTTTAGTCAAAATAAACTAATTCCATCATTTTAAAAATAAGGATATCACCATACTGAAATGTTTTCAATGTTTTCAGTTTGAAAAAAAAGAAGTATAAAATTATATTGAAACTTGAAAATTCACAGGAAAACGTTTTCGGGAATTTCGCACAGCCCTGTTGAGGAGCAGTGACGCTCTGGGAATGTCTTTTTGACTCCTGTTGTAAAGACAGAACCAGCTTCTTGAGGGAACGGGACCTACGGCGCATCCTCTACGTGTGGTTGTTGTTAAGATTGTTCTTGTTAAAGAACCTCCTTGCTTCAACGCTGCTGAGAGACACGGAGCAGCGGGATGGATTCTCTTTTCTGTATTCAATGCTTTCCATCATAGCTTGCTTGATCACCTGGAAAACAGAGAAGAATGCATCATTCAGGGAAAAAAACTAACATTTTAATGATTCATTAACTGATAGAAAAGACCCCTTCGGATGTCACCCACTGTTGCTGCTGCTTCTGTCGCTGCTCCATTATTGAATGAAATGAACAAAACAGAGTGTTACTACGAGTATTATTTTTTCGACTGTATAAAGCACTGATTTTAATGTAGTCAATATAAAAAGATAGGACAGAACACCACCCATGTCAAAGAAGTCGCACAAGAACACACCCCATTTAAACTGATTCCCAATGCAGTTCTGAAAGGTGAATCAAACATTGAGAAAATCCATCAAAATCCACAGATACAGATAATAATTATTACCACAAGAAAGATTAACTCTTAACTTTTGCTTCCTTTGTCCTGAAGTAACAAGGTTTGTTCACCATATTGAAAAAAATATAATTTCTTTATCTGGGATGATCATTTACACTTGTGAATAGGGCGAGTCACCCTGTGGATGCTGGGATCATGGTCTTGTGTTACAGCTCGTATCCATTAAAAATAATTATTATTGAGTGAGTTGATAAAGACATTGCCAGAGATCTTTACAAAAAATTTCCGTTTTCCTTTTTTTCAGTAAGAAAATCAGCATACATAAAGAACTGAGTATAAAATCCTGAACATGATGTCTACATCCTGTGCAGGCACCTTTGCTCAGTCACCCTGCAGGATTTTGGATGGTAAAATGACAAAAAGCCCACAGGAACCAAATCAAAAAGAACATGAACTTACCTAGGGTATAATCCATCCCTCATTAAAATAAAGCAGATATTTTTCCACCAGCTATGATGGGCTTCGATCCAGCCACGACTCTGAGAACAGCAAGGGGCACAACCAAATGCAGGAAGCACTTTGTACGTGGCAACAATCAGGCTGAGGTCAATCCCTGTTCCTTCTGCATGGCAGATTTAGGGCTTCACTCACACCATCTACCTTCCCCCTTAAAAATCTAGACCCTTTAAGCCTCCTCCCCACTGGCATACGTACATCTATGTTATTGAGGGTGTTGAACTCCATTAGATCGTGAAGCCTCTTGAAAGCCTCATTGGGATACTGGAAGTTGAAGGTGGAGAACGGTGTATTCGGATCATCGAAAATGTCGAAGTCTGCAAAATCCTTCTCTTCCTGTGTTTCTCTTGGAACGCCTGCGTACAGAACAAATACAAAAATACAACCTAAACGTTTCTGAGGACTTACTGTCTTACTTTTTAATGGCTCTTTTGAAATCCCCAACTACTACAGAGAGACCTAGGAGTTGTTTCGGAGACAAAATGTTTCTAACATATAATCACCATGCCACTGTAAAGCTTCAAAGGAACAGCTAGATTTAGGATTGGAAACTGTGTGTTCACCTGGAGCTTTGTACTTCCGGAAGTTGATGTTGGCCAAAACAAAATGGATTATAGTGGGACAGTCTTTCTCCGAAGAGGTATCCTTTGGTTTGAAGACATAGCACTCCTTCATGCCCTCTCGATCAAATACGTTTGGGTCTATTTTCGGGAAAGGAAGCTTGTTCATTTTGGCCCATTTTTCAGCAAGCAAAATTTCCTGAAAAGATAACAAAGACTCAGGTGCCTACAAGCATCCACTGCAAAGCAAGATTTTACGCAGAGAGATACAGGTCAAATTGGTCACTGGAGGCAGTTTCATCAACCCATGCTTCTTTCCAGTCATAGAATCATAGAATGGTTAGGGCTGGAAGGGACCTTCAAAGGTCATCTAGTCCAACCCCCCTGCAAGGAACAGGGATATCTCCAACTAGATCAGGTTGCTCAGGGCCTCATCCAACCTGGCCTTGAACGTCTCCAGGGATGGAGCATCCACCACCTCTCTGGGCAACCTGTTCCAGTGTTCTACAACTCTCATGGTAAAATTTTTTTTCCTAATATCCAACCTGAATCTACCTCCCTCTATTTTAAAACCATTACCCCTTGTCCTATCACAACAGGTCAATCCAGTCCCTCTTTGTACGGATGACCCAGTATGGCAAACTGAGCACCTAATTCTGCCCGTCCAATCTTCACCACCTGCTGGTGGATGATTCACAGGAAGGAAAGAGCTGGTCTGCCACATAAATCTTTGGGTGAATTTACAGAGCTGACAACTAGAAAAAACCATCCGTAATTTTACTTGCAAACTGAGTACCAGTGCTATGGAAACCAGTGAGAGTTAATAAACAGCAATCTGGGCGTTGTTATGTTCAGAGAGTCACATCCCAGTACAGAAGAGCATTTGAAAGCATGCTAAGTGAAGAAGTAAGTCTGGAACACAGGCTTTTCTTTCCTCATGACAACTCGGTAAACAAAATAATTTGTAAACAATGACTCAAAAGCCTGTAACGAGGGTGTGTGAGAGGGAGGAGAGGGAAGGTCAACATCTTTAATCTTGGGTTTGAATGGAACAGGACCCTTCTTTGGGCAACTGTTTTAGATACGTGAGAGATTAAAAGATAGTGGGTGTAAAACAATAAAACAAAAGTAGAGTCATTGACTTCAGCTGGCTGATTGCCCTGCTGTGTTGGAGTAAAAACAGTTTATTCGAGTGCTGCCATAGATACAGGCCAGCTCTTCACCTGGCATTTACTCTTTGTAAGGCGAGCAGAACCAATGGGATGGCGCAGCCAGTAAAGAAAACTGGTTTCTGTCCTTTAGGCCATTAGCATGCAGCCTCTGTTTGAGGACTGCACCTGTGTATTAGCTGGAGGTACATCACTCTTTTTATTAAACACGTGTTTATGCTTTGGAAATAACCAACTGTTCCTTTCAACGGCAGCTTCACGAAAACCTCTGGCACTGTTTCATTTTCCCACCATTTTTTCTTGCGTAAAAGGATTTGCCTTTTTGAAATTTTGAAATTGAGTTGACAGAAAAAAAACCTTCGGGACACTACTTGACTTCCAATCCACGTCTCCGTGTTATCGTACGTTCCCCAAAACGGAACAGAAAATTGCAGCCAACGGAGATGGAAAACTCAATGCGTAAGCTAAGAGTAACAGAGTATTTAGTAACTACATGGTATTTTGCACAGACTCCACGTGCAGAACACAACGTAGGGAGGAAAAAGAAGTTTCAGAGGAGATAGTAGTGCTGTGCCAGTAAAATTAGCTGATGGGGAAAATAGTCAGTCGTGACAAAAAAGGAGACAAATTCTTAAACAAATCGAAAATAAAAGGAAGAAACAGACTGTGGGATTCAGTCAACTGAGGAAAAATGAAGGATCTCGGCACTAGCACAAGATTCTCAGTGTCCTACTCTTCCAGGTAGTCCCCAAGAGACCTGGAGATTACAGAAGTTACTCCTTTTTATTCTCAAGCATGTTTTTCTTTGCATTTGACAACACTGATCTAGAGTTCATTTTGCTACTGCTGTTATTTTCTAACACTGTTTGGGGATTTTATCCCTTGATAGCAAGAGGAAGGGAGAAAATACCTTGTTCTAATTGAAATTTGTCTGTAAAGTAACAAAGAACACCAGTTGTTTCTCAAACAGATAGGTTTTCTTGGTTATTTTATAATATCCACTTGGGTTCCAAACAAATATCGCCTCTTTTTTGAGTTCCCAGCAACAGTCTCCTAAGTGCTGCTTTTTCTGTGTCAGCTACCAAAACCATCCCACACTAAACTTTTCTGATCTGCTGGATCATTTGGAGCTGTCTGGATGTGTAGGTTGCACAGGTCGTTACAGAATGACACCTGTGCTTTCCACCCCTGCTACGGAAAGCAGCCATGTCATTTGATCTGTATTTTTCCGTGGTTGTTTTGCCCTGGCCTGGGTGGATTTAGGAGTCCTACTGGGATTATCCTAGCGAGATGCAAACGAGCAGTTAGCTGCACTTCCCAAATGGTACCCATTTAGCAATACCAGAGTGACTGAGCGAAGATGTATTTCTGCAAGATGATGACAGAAAACCGTTTACATCACAGAGGAGAACAGCTGTACAGAGCTAGAGTGCTAGCACAATGGTGACTTAATTGTTCAATCCTGACAGCAAATAAAAATCTGCAATTCAGTGGGAAGGCAAGACTTCCATAAAAACAACAAAGCTACCATTTCAAAGGAATTATATTAGCCTTCCTTGTGTCAGTTGTCTCATGTGAGTCATGTAAACAGGAACTGAGGCAGAGGGCAATATTCTGCCTTGACGTGGAAACAAATTGCTCCAGTGCTGTCGATACAACGCACTACGGCCTTCTGGAACCATGAAACGTGCAACCAACCCGACTGGAAGAATATCACTCATCAGTCAACTCACATTTGTGAACACAAAGAAAGGAACGGCCTGGCTGACTTACTTTGAAAGGAGGACTGGAATCGCTTGGCCTCGCTGAAAAATCGAAAGAGATGATGAGGTCAACGCCTCTTTGAGGTCTCAAGATGAGCGGGTATGGCAGGTTAAACGTAAGCCCACTGTCCACTATATGGATCTTCTTGCTCTTCACATCTAGTGGCTCATATATCCTCTCAAACTCATCAGGATCTGTGCAGAACAAATGAAAACAAAACATAACAGGAACACATCAGTTAAGAACTGAAATTGTGATGGGCTCTCCAGTGTTTCCCCAAAAACTGAAGGTTCCACAGAATTTAAATATACAGTATCCCAGCTAAACATACCATGAACTCATGTGGAACCTTAACTCTTGCCTTAACAACTGGAGACTGAGGGGGGAAAAAAAAAAAAAGAACTGGAAGGGACCTCAGTATGTCAAGTAGACAAACGCCGTGTCCCAAAGCAGAAGCAGAGGTGGCTCAAGACACAACTGAAGGGGACGAACGTTCAGGTTTGACTCTAGCCTTGCCAGCTTTACCCCTTCATCCCTAACAACCCACACACAAAGGAAAGTGTTTAAGAGGCAGATTCCTAACCTACATCCCCTCAGTGTCCTACAACTCCTGCCCAAACCTCTTCCCCCAGGTTCACAGAAGCACAGAATCCCAGAATGTTAGGGATTGGAAGGGACCTCAAAGGATCATCTAGTCCAATCCCCCTGCCGGAGCAGGACCACCTAGATCAGATCACACAAGAACGCGTCCAGGTGGGTTTGGAACATCTCCAGAGGAGACTCCACAACCTCCCTGGGCAGCCTCTTCCAGTGTTCTGGTACCCTTACTGGGAAGAAGTTCTTCCTCATGCTTAACTGGCACCTCCTATGTTCCAGCTTATATCCATAAGTTCCCTTCCAACCCCATCGTCCTTCCCAGCTCATCTTCCCCAAATAACCGAAATTTGCCTAAAAAGCCTTCATGTGGCTCTGCTCTTGCGTGACGCTTCTCTGTGTCTGTTTCTGTCCCTGAAAACTAGGACTGCTAAGACTTGTTTTCCAGCCTACATCAAATCTCATGACGTCACACTCACTGGAATACTGGGAACAAAAAGAAACGGTGACCCATAGCATCCTCTGAAATTTAAGCATTAGGCAGAACCACATATAAGCCACTTTCTGCAGTTACTGTCACGGTATCGTACAAAATAGTCTCCTATGTCTAATGCCCAAACTGAAGAAGACATTTCTTGTTTAAGCCCAATATCCCCTGGGATAAAAAGCTGAGGAAAAAACTTTTTCCTAAGTGTCTTTGCATTTCCCCAAGTCTCTGGAATCTACTGAATTATCCCAGCAGTAATTCAAACTTTTCTCCTGACAGTCTCTTATTGATCTAGATTTTAAAAATATTTCCACCGCATGTTTTGGCCTTTTGACTGAAAACTAATGTTGGCATCTGTAGAGGGCAGTGTAACCCAAGGAATGCTGAATGGAATAATGTAATTATTTCTCGTATAATTAAATTTCCTAGCACCTACCTATTGCTGATGGAAGTAATCTGGAAAAGATACTTTGATGTGAAAAAATGCCATCAAAAATAACTCAAAGTGGAGTTCCTATCATTTCAGGCTCCATGAGGAAAATTTATTGTTATGAGCAGCAAAATATCTCAGAAGAGATATTTTGACTTTCAATTTCTGTTATTATTTATTAGAAGGCACTTTGCTATGAAATGAGGCACCAGTTTCCTAATATTTCCCTTGATTTCTAAGGGAGAAGACACCAATCATTGCCTATTGCTGAAGGGCTAAGTGTCTTTATAGACCTAGTTTAGAATCAGATATATTTCATAACCATGAGTTAGCATAAATCAATGAAAATATATTAGTGCTTATCAACTTCATCACAATTAAAAAAACGCTGGCAAAAAAAATACATTTACTACAGATCCTTCAGCAGAAGTAGACTAGTTTCGTTTTCCCCCTCCCTTTTTAAAGACAATATTTCAAACATAATTTAACCCTTGTTCTCAATAGAATTTCTAAAAATTGCAGAAAGATTTTTGTTCAAGTTTTGCATTATCTTAGTTTACAAAATTTGAATTTAAAAGTCAACAGGGATCCTTTAAACAAGAACAGTGCCAGCTACGACAATGTTTGTGACAGGAGCGTTACTGCGTTCACAAACTTCCTACCAAAAAGGAAGTGAAGAACAAGACAGTTCCTACTCCTTACAGCCTTCATGACTCCACCATCAAATTTATCATAATAAGTTTATGATCTTTTAAATGATAAAACATCATAATGCCGTTAATACCTTTATAATGGCCACACAGATTGTTTTTATTAGTTGTAGTCTTCTGTGGTTACAGGAGAAATTCAACCTAAGGGTTTTTCTTTTGTACTGCGTCCAGTTCTGGAGCCCCCAACATAAGAAGGACATGGACCAGTTGGAGAGGGTCCAGAGGAGGGCCACGAAGATGATCAGAGGGCTGGAGCACCTTTCCTATGAGGACAGGCTGAAAGAATTGGGGCTGTTCAGCCTGGAGAAGAGGAGGCTCCGGGGTGACCTTATAGCGGGCTTCCAGTACCTCAAGGGGGCCTACAAGAAAGATGGGGAGAGGCTGTTCAGGAGGGCCTGTTGTGATAGGACAAGGGGTAATGGTTTTAAAATAGAGGGAGGTAGATTCAGGTTGGATATTAGGAAAAAATTTTTTACCATGAGAGTTGTAGAACACTGGAACAGGTTGCCCAGAGAGGTGGTGGATGCTCCATCCCTGGAGACGTTCAAGGCCAGGTTGGACGAGGCCCTGAGCAACCTGATCTAGTTGGAGATATCCCTGTTCCTTGCAGGGGGGTTGGACTAGATGACCTTTGAAGGTCCCTTCCAGCCCTAACCATTCTATGATTCTATGATTCTATGATTATAATTCATTTCAGAAGTACATTTCTAATGTTGGAACCAAGAAGAAAAGTTCCAAAATGCAACTTGTGTCCACGCCAGGGGCTCAGAATTCAAACAGCGATGAAGCCAACCCTGTGTCATTTTAACGAGGTGACTTTAAAGGCAGACTCAGCACGTAATTTGATTTAATTCACAGGGGATCTGGAGCCAGAGGCCAGAAGCTGCACACAACAGCCCAGTGAGACAGGGCAAGCAGGCAGACGGAACTGCGGGTCAGGACGCTGCAGGTGAGCCTGCAATTGCTCCTGGGAGAGCTGGAACGTACAATCAGCATCCCTGATGCTGAAAGAAGAGTTACCTGCTCTATAATCTGTGCTGTAGTTATTCTGAAGGGCTGGATAAGGAATCTTTGTTCTTTTCATCCTTTACAACACATGAATCCAAGACAATTGTTCTGTATACTGCAGCTGCCCTGGGAAGTCAATCCATCCTTATTCATCAAACAGTATGAAGACTGAATGGAGTATTTATGCTCTGAGAGCCTGAAACTGCTTTTATGAAAGATGCATCCCCATTATGAGAAGCTTTCAGTCCATCAAACAGCAAAGTGGGGGGAGCACAAGATGTTTACAAGCACAGCCCTGTGTGAAAGCAGCCCAGCACGCCTGGCTGATCCGCAGTAATCACATACACAAACGGATGTTAAGAATTGTTTGGAAATAAAAAAGAAAGCCTGTTTGAGAGACCCAACTTTGTCACAGATGACAGCTTCAATGGAAGTACGGGAGATGAAAAGGGCATTTGCTTTAGCTACTGACGTGCGTCTACTATAACAGAGTTTCCATAAATACTGAAATAAGGAACCAGAGATTATGAGTTATTTTTTCCCTATTGTTATTCACTTGGCATTTTCTCAAGAGGTTTTGGTGTGTTGTAACACCAAGGCACAGCAACTTGACTCTGAGCTCACAACAAAATCATTCGAGGGGTGTAAAGTTTAAAAGTGGTGGATGCTCCATCCCTGGAGACATTCAAGGCCAGGTTGGACGAGGCCCTGAGCAACCTGATCTAGTTGGAGATATCCCTGGTCCTTGCAGGGGGTTTGGCCTAGATGACCTTTGAAGGTCCCTTCCAGCCCTAACCATTCTATGATTCTATGATTCTATGAAAAGTGTGTTTGAGACCAACTCAGAAAACGCTCAGCAAAACCAGAACCTGCAGCGAAGCGACGCTGAGTGTTTTACTCTCGGATCAAGTACGCACCGCAGATCCTAAATTCCATCCTCAGTAAGGACTGTAACACCGGCTTAGGTCTGCCACAGCACAAGTCAGTGGGCCCACAGAAGGTCCAAGACAACTGGAGGTGCAAACTGTTATTTATTTCCTTTTTGATTCATTTCTTTCTCCTGCAGAGTGTCTGGTAAATAAAGTAAGTCCTAAAGCAATTCAGACTTCTCTCTGTACTCAAGCTGACAGGTATACTCCTAGTAGTAGGAATAAATTGTGGTGGAGGATTTCCCTGCCCATGGCAGGGGGGTTGGAACTAGATGATCTTTGAGGTCCCTTCCAACCCAAACCATTCTGTGATTCTGTGATTCTATGAAATACGCAAAGCTTAAATGCATCCAGCGCCTTGGCAATAGACAATATTTTAAATTTACACCAAAATTTCCTTTCTGTCTACTCCTCTGGGCCGCTAGGCTCTTACATATGTTAGCAAAACTCATAGAATCATAGAACGGTTTGGGTTGGAAGGGACCTCAAAGATCATCTAGTTCCAACCCACAGCATTTAAATGTGGATACACTTATCACACTACTGAATGACTAAATTTTGTATTAACTGCTGAAATTTCAAGGGTTTTCTAACTGTTCTTGACCATGATGTTGCAGCTGCCCATAGTTGTTAGCTTTGAGTTGCTAGTTCAGGTTTATGAGTGCGGGCTTTGGCTAACAGTAAAAAAACGGCAGTTGCGTCAAACTTTTGCCAGACTTTTTACCCAAAGAAGTTTCAGGCACTCAAAAGTAATCGTCTCAGGGGTGCAGGCTCGTTCTGTCAAAGCAGCATTTTATTTCAATTGAAATGAAACCCCAGGAAGTCAAGAGTTGATTCTGAAGATTGTCCACACGTCTTAATTATGCAAAATTCTCATCAACTGTCATTTTTTCCAACCATCAATTTACTACCCGCTTTCCTGCCTCTTTTACAACGACTATAAATATTAAGATTACTCAGTTGTAAACACTTCGGAGATGATAAAAATATTTAGAAAGCAGAGTACAGATGGAAATTACTATCCAACCCCTCAAAGGGATTTGTTACATTAACAAATACACATTACAGCGTGTCTGCTACTTAAGCTTTTGAACAACATCTGGTATTTACTGTTGCATAATGACCAGCCAGGACAACCTCTTTCCTCTGGGTAGAACGTAAAGGCTGAAGTGACTACTGTTACCACGAGGGATGGTTGGTAGTGCTGTGCTGCTCCATGAAACCATGGGAGGAACACCACTTCCAGAGAGTTGCAGCTCCTTGGCTTGAGGGATGTCAGTAATAATCCACAATAATCCAGCAGCATTACAGTTTGTATCCCAGAAACTTGTACGTGGAGGCTCCACCAAGTGCACATCTTCAGTGTGATGGAACTTTCCTATAGGGAAACTCACATCCTTCACTCAGAGCTCTGCAGCCTACTGAGGAAGTGGAAAAAAAAAAGGCACCAGTGCCAGAAGAATACTAAGAAATTCATCGGCTCTCACTGAGAAGACTGTAACGAACACTGTCTACAGCAAATCTTCGAAACACAAATCGAATGTGATTCCTAATTCTCTGCAGCTACTCTCCCAGACATCATGTCCTTCATGGAGTAAGGTAAGACACTGAACTTCTTTCACAAATTAACATTTTTCAAAAATTCTGCTTTTCCATCCACATTGCTGCTTCTGCTAATGTGGTAACGTAGAAGCATCTACACATCGGTCCCACCTGAACCGTGAATGCACCTGACAGATCAGTCACGCTGGGAAGAACATGGTGTCAGCAAAGCAAGGATCTACGAGTGAAGAAGTGTGATGCCTCCATAGGTTTTTCAGAGGAAGGCAAAGACAGTAGCAGAGCTACAAAATTTTTGGAACAGGGAAGCCCTGTAGGAGGACAATGAAAAGTTTTATTTCCACCAGAAGGCTCCGCACCAATAAGAGAGAAGGAACAACACAGGATGCCCTTTGGAGAAGTCCAAGAGAGTGAGAAAGTGGTCTGAACAAAGGGCACCATACACAAAAACAGCTTGGTCACCTCTGCCAGCAATTCCTTCAAAACAGAGAGCCACTTCGCTTCCAAAAGGTACGGACTGTTCTGCACACTCTGCCAGGGCACATGGGAGGCAGGCAGTAGACAGAAGCCATAGAATCATAGAATGGTTTGGGTTGCAAGGACCTCAGAGATCATCTAGTTCCAACCCCCCTGCCATGGGCAGGGACACCTTCCACTACACCAGGTTGCTCAAAGCCTCATCCAACCTGGCCTTGAACACTTCCAGGGATGGGGCAGCCACACCTTCTCTGGGCAACCTGTTCCAGTGCCTCACCACGCTCAGAGGGAAGAATTTCTTCCTTAGATCTCATCTAAATCTCCCCTCTTTCAGTTTAAAGCCATTGCCCCTTGTCCTATCACTACATGCCCTGTCCAAAGCCCCTCTCCAGCATTCCTGTCGCCCCTTTAGGTACTGGAAGGCTGCTAGAAGGTCTCCCTGGAGCCTTCTCTTCTCCAGGCTGAACAGCCCCAACTCTCTCAGCCTGTCTTCATAGCAGAGGTGCTCCAGCCCTCAGATCACCTTTGTGGCCTCCTCTGGACCCACTTCAACAGCTCCATGTCCTTCTTGTGCTGGGGACTCCAGAGCTGAACGCAGTATTCCAGATGCGGTCTCACAAGAGCAGAGCAGAGGGGCAGAATCCCCTCCCTCGCCCTGCTGCCCACGCTGCTTTGGATGCAGCCCAGGACACGGTTGGCTTTCTGGGCTGCCAGCGCACGGTGCCAGTTCATGTTGAGCACCTCATCAACGAACACCCCCAAGTCCTTCTCCTCAGGGCTGCTCTCAATCCACTCTCCACCCAGCCTGTACTTGTGCTTGGGATTGCCCCGACCCACGTGCAGGACCTTGCACTTGGCCTTGTTGAACTTCACGAGGTTTGCACAGGCCCACCTCTCCAGCCTGTCAAGGTCCCTCTGGATGGCATCCCTGTGCAGTGCCCTCCGTGACACCCAGTCACCTCACAACCTCTGCTGCTGCTGCTGAATACCCAACGACTGCGGCTACAGAAACGTTCTCCTGCCTTCAGGTACCTGCTTTTGAAAGCCTCACAGTTCGATGTCAGCACACCGAGAACTCGCTGCTGCTGGTTTCACTAGTGCATATGCAGCAACAGAGGCTTTCTGCCAACTAACCTGCAACGGCTGTGTCTGGTTCATCATCCTCCACGGACTCCTGAGTGAGAAGGTCTGCCAGAGGAGAGAGCGGGTAACAGCTGTTGAGGTTCAATCCCAGCATGAAGTTGTGCACTTTCCCAGCACGCCCTTCCCTGGTGTTGAAAAGGGCACTGTCACCCACCAAAGCCATCAGCATTCGCTGCACCCAGCTTTCTTGGCTACTGTTCTGGTATTCTTCATTTGCCTTGGTGTTTTCAGTGCCTGTGGAGGAAAATGAAAATAACCATTGGTGAGACAGTTGACATATAAAGTATAAACCCAAGATTTCCAGGTCTACTAAAATAAAGGATCCATTAAAATAAAAGGAGCTGGGTCATAGCCTTCTGTCAAGGAGCTGAGGACTGAATGTTCAGAGGAATGGAGAGAAACCATCCTCTTACCTTCACAGGCCAGAGAAACTTTTCATTTGCAGTACAGCAGCATGGATGTGTCCATCAGGAAAACAGATTGGGAATAAGTTACATGACCTGGGCTGGATTTAACTAGTCTGGATGGCAAGGGCAATGAGGATACAGCTTTATCTGTGCTAGCACCCAAACTGCAAGCTCTCCTGGGCTCAGGGGACAGAAGTGAGTTGCCAAGATCCATGCTCTATGTAGACTTATTTCATCTGGATGTGTACTGACACCCCTCTCCATCCTTTGCTGACTGCTAGAAACCCAGCTTTCCTGAAGAAGGCAAAGTCAGTCTGCATAAACATGAATGCTATAGCATGAGAATTCTAAAATATCTGAAAATACACTTCCAGTAAACTGCAGACTACAATCAATATGTGGTTTCAATTAACTAAAGAGTACAATGAAATGTCCACACTTGGATGTATACAGCTAGACATCATAATAAAAGTAACTTGGACTGGTGTCACCTTGCATTTGCACTCTCAAAATGTGACTTTTGGAGGTGTTTTATATAAATAGATAATTGAGGCTCAGGTTTGACACTTCAAATCCAGCACTGAAAGGTGCATCTTTAATCCAGGCTGTAAAGGAGCTGGTTTTTATATAAGTAAACAGAAAACATGCATCGAATGCCACAAAGCTCAAAGGTCGAACATCTGTACATCTCTACATCCAAGCACAAGTACAGGCTGGGCAGAGAATGGATGGAGAGCAGCCCTGAGGAGAAGGACTTGGCAGTGTTGGTTGACGAGAAGCTCACCATGAGCCGGCACCGTGCGCTGGCAGCCCAGAAAGCCAACCGTGTCCTGGGCTGCATCCAAAGCAGCGTGGGCAGCAGGGCGAGGGAGGGGATTCTGCCCCTCTGCTCTGCTCTCCTGAGACCCCCCCTGCAGTGCTGTGTTCAGCCCCAGAGTCCACAACGCAAGAAGGACATGGAGCTGTTGGAGCGGGTCCAGAGGAGGCCACGAAGATGATCCGAGGGCTGGAGCACCTCTGCTATGGAGACAGGCTGAGAGAGTTGGGGCTGTTCAGCCTGGAGAAGAGAAGGCTCCGGGGTGATCTTATTGCAGCCTTCCAGTACCTAAAGGGGGCCTACAGGAAAGCTGGAGAGGGGCTTTTACAAGGGCGTGTAGTGACAGGACAAGGGGCAATGGATTTAAACTGAAAGAGGGGAGATTTTCATGAGATCTAAGGAAGAAATTGTTTCCTCTGAGGGTGGTGAGGTACTGGAACAGGTTGCCCAGAGAAGTTGTGGCTGCCCCATCCCTGGAGGTGTTCAAGGCCAGGTTGGATGAGGCTTTGGGCAACCTGGTGTAGTGGAGGGTGTCCCTGCCCATGGCAGTGGGGTTGGAATTAGATGATCTTTGAGGTCCCTTCCAACCCAAACCATTCTATGATTCTATGTTAATAACATTCTATAGAAGTGAGAGAGATTACCAAGTGTTTACAAATCACAGATTTGTAGGTTGTCCACTACAGCTACAAACTACGAGGGAAATGTAGGGCTATAGTGCTTCAACAAGAAATCCACAAATAAACAGAAAATGTGGTCTCACCCTCTCTCCCTTATTTTACATGTAAGGGGAACTGAAGAAGTCACTATTGAACTGAGATAACGACATAATTCACTGACTCACCACACAAGGTTTTCTTTTCTTCCCGTAGATCCTAAAATTACAAAGAGCTGCGTTCCCATCTTTGCTTTAGTTGTTAAAATCGTAATAGATTTCTGTAGGTGAAAATCACTGCTGTCCCCAAAAGTATCATCAAACACAGAAAGCATTATTGGGATGAGACAGAGACCTTGACTAAAATCACAGAAACCCCCAAGTGGTTTAGGTGCCTAAAGATAATTTTCAGGAGGATCTTTTCTGCCCACTGCTCAATGTGGTTGTGCCTCTTCTGGGAAAATGGATTTAGGCTTGTTTAAAGCACTGTGCCAAGCACTAGGAATTTCCTGTATCAGATGTCATTTGTAAAGGTGCTGGAAGACATCTGTGAATGCTGGAAACACTACTATTTGACCAAGGAACCCTTGAAAACAATGGATAGCGTCAGTTTGCTGGGCTGATAACAATCCAAACATTCCTCTGAGCTCAGGAGCTTGCTGGCAACAGACTTCCGGAGATTATGAGCACAGCAAGCCTAATTTTTGGGTGCATGTGAAATCGCAGACCTCTGGGAAGCCTGGTTGGGCTGATGCCAAGATTGAAGACATGTGAGAGAATCAGTTGATCATCAGCTCGAGCAGGAGGCACAAAGTCAAGGCAAAGGCCCTCCTGAGGTCTCTTGTTCAACATTTCCCTATTTTGCTGAGCTGGCTCCTTTAAAATCCTTGGGCCATTGGTATAAATGAGAGCAGAGTTCTCGTGATAAAAGACTACTGGTAAGACTACAGAAAACCAGTTATGGCCAATTACTAACATCCATGAACTTCACCATGCTGCGTGAAAGCTGGATAAAAAGAGTAAACTATGAAATAAAACGTGAGAATTTCCTTACCTTTTGGATGCTGTGATTCATCTTCACTGTCTGAACTGTCATTGCTTACCAGGTGCTTTAGTCTAATATTTTCTGTTGAAAGAAATAGAAAATGACTTTAAATTGCCAGGGTTTAATTATCAGAACAGCTAAGAATTTCGAAACAATTTGAGTCACAAAACTATCACAGTCTTCATAACAGAAAATACACCTGAAGAGATTTGATCTGCTGCAGACATCTCTGTGATCAGAATCTGATCAGAAAATATTGGCTGCAGCTGGCAATTTTTGCAAAGCTCCTGCACTAAAGAGATCAGCCAAAGGGCTGAGAAAACCAAATGCAATCCCAAAGCAGTACATACACTCACCTCTGCACCACGTATCTGACACATTTCATTACCCTGGATTAAAATTAGATGTATAGCTACTGCCCTCTCAATAACTCTTAGTGAACGAGGAAGAGAATGTTAATTTCTCTTAATTACCTGATAAATTAAAAAAAATAAAGAGGAATGCTTAACCTCATTCATACATGTATGAATGGGTACCTTTAAAAACAGTGGGGGAAAAACAAAAGCCAAGATGGTTATGAAAGTTCTACTGGAGTATGCATGAAAAATCAAGTTACATGGGTAGAAAAGACAATTGCTTTCATCTCATCACATTAAGTGAGAGACATAAAACCAGAAATGACCGGACTTCTCTGGCCAAAAATCTTCATTTTGTTAGGGTTAACAACCAAAACAGCCACAAAGTCATTATTATCTCCAAGAATTATTTCGGAGTCAAAGTGAGGAACTGCACTCCTCAGGTGAGGTTTGTAGTGGAGGTGGATTAATGTGGAGATGGATTATAGGCTGACAACGTTATTTTTGCTAATTATAGAGGGAAGTCTTTCTTGGAATACAGTAGATTTGCAATGCTTTATGAGCAGCCTCATCTCAGAAGCTTATATCCTACAGAGACTGGGGACAGATACTGAAGCCCAGTGATGCAACTGTATCCAAGGAAAGACTTTTGAAAACTAAACCTCTTTATTGCCTAGTATAATGTAGGCTAGGAATCATCTCTAATTGAAATTTGAAGCCAGTTAAAATAAACTGAATGAGAGTTGTTTCCTAATGAACTTGAACATATTATCAACTAATTCTTTCTTCCATTAAAAAATGAGAATAAAAGAACATTTTCCTCAAAGAAGGACAACGCAGATGTTGGTCTCTGGTGGTACGCCCCTGCTTTGGGCTGTAATTTCCAACAAGTGCTGTGATTTCTACCAAATGCAGTATCAAAACAATGACAATTATACTTTGTGGTTTTTGCTTAATCTAAATTTAATTCCTATAAGCACGCCTGGCTGAAAGGGGAGATTGCAGAGGGAGTCACTGTGATATCAGGTGTACGAACCCACAGCTTTATAACCCTTGGGAATGAACTGGATACCAATGACCACCACTGCTGCTGTCCTCCAGAAGAGGATCATGCCCTCTTAGCCTTAAATACAACACTGTGAAAATCCCCACAGAAACAGAAGAGCTTAGTCATCATGTATTTTTCCTTAAATACCTTTTAATTCTCAGTGGGTCTGCAATACACCAAACAGCATCCACGGCCAAACACGCACCAAAGACAAACACGCACAAATTCTTGAGCGAGGACATAGGAGGCAGGTCAAAACAAAAACTAGTGACCAAAGAAGGAAGCTACTAAAACCAACAAATGCTATTTTTGGACCTCAAACCATCTCTTTAAATCAACCCCCACACAAAATTTTTATTTACTGCCTCCAGGTGCAATTTATACATGCTGTGTGTGACTCCGGTTCTTCTGATGTCCACTGGCATTTCACCATTCACTTTGGTGGTACCAAGGTTTCACTGGGACATCTACAGCTCCAGTAATAGACTGTGGTTCAAGTCACATTAGTACTTTCACACCTAATCCCACTTCAAAGTATATTTTTTAAATTATATGTCAAATGAGCCACGGATGAGAGATAACATTTTATCTCAACATCTTAAAAAGCAGTAACATAGACACTTCCACCATCAAATTTCTTGTCAGAGATCCTCCATTAGTAGGTGTTAACACCCATGAGGTGTTATCAGAAACATGAATCTGTTTTTTTTGTTTGTTTGTTTGTTTGTTTTTTAAATAACTCAATCTGAGTTTTCTCTCCACGCTTTTCAGAAAAATCTGGCTCTCTAGTACAAACTATTTATTGTTTTCATATTTCCCTGTAATGCTGTCTTCTGAATAGGTGGAAAAGTGTAAAAAACCCTTTCAATACCAACTGCATTCTCAAATAAAACACAGCAAAGTTTACTCGAACCAAGCTACAACTCTTTCCTTACAGTCATTATGCCATTTGTGCCCTAGGAATGAAACCAAAATCATTAAAATTAGTAAGCAAAGGATCAGATACCAACAGGTGACTTATGATTAGAAAGGAACAATCTAGCAATCCAGAGATGATAAAATTTCTTTTTACTTTACTAATCCCTTGAATAATACAGTCCAGTGGCAAGAGATCACACGAGTAACTATCAAGTATTTGTCAGCTTCTGACCTCCAAAAACCAGCACAACAACATAAAAAAGGGAGTTGGATTCTTTTAACTTCACGAAAATAGCTGGATATATGCAGGTGAAACAAAAGTGAAAGAAAGAGAAGAAAATCACTAACTCTCCCTCACCTCACCAGCATCTAGCAACTTCGGCTATTAAAATTACTTGTATTCCACATTCTTAAAATGATTACCAGCAGAGTGCCATCCTTCCACAGAGTAAGAGCACACTGAATCTTGCTAGTAATTGTTTTGCACAGTAGAAGATTTATTTACTCATATTACCTAATTCTTCTTCCATGGTGGGACCTTTATTTTGAGAATTGGAGACACCAAGCACTCTGTTAAATAATATAGAAAACGCACTGCCCCAGACACCTGGAAGGGAAAAAGTAAACAATGAATGGAGGCTGGTAGATGAAAATAAAAATATACTGAGCTATTTAAGCAGTTGCTCTCTGGACACACCTCTGATTTTGGAATATGCTAAGTCATAAGCTCAGATATACACACCAGAAAAAAAAAAAAGGGAATGCCAATCCACGTCTGTGAAATCTTTCAAACAGATGTCTTCCAACAAACTGAGAACTCTGCTTCTTGTCTCACACTTTGTGTGATTTTATCTAAAATCCCTTGTCCACGAACTACTGAAATTAATTTTATTTTAAAGTCTCTTTTCTGCCACACACTCACCCATCAAGAAATGCAAGGGATTTTCAGTGTACTTCTTCACCACTGTCCCCATAAAAAATTTGCTTCCAAACAAATCAGGAGACATAAAAGTGCCGTACTTTGCCATACCAATCTCATACGGACTGAATTCCACCCAGTCTGCAAAACAAGAAACGAAACTCTGCTTAGTTAGCACTCTCGGCCTGAAGAGAAACACAGGATGAAAATAATAAAAAAAAATGAAACCTCTGCTTAAGCAAAGAAATTTCAGTTACATGGGAAGCTAAATAATCACCAGGAATATCTCTTAGGTTGTGCAGAAGTCAAAATTTTGATTTTAAATGAAGGATAGCCTGATGTCTCAGCAGAGAAGTAATTCTCATTCTCTCTTATCACGGCAAACGTCAGTGAAAAAATACGAGGTTGTAAAACCAGAAGTATAAAAGCAGCGATCACGAAGCAGAAAAAAAAACAACTACATCTGGTTTTCATCTCAACTTCAACATGATTCCCTGTCACATGAAATGCAACGTGGGTCTAAGTTCCAAGTTTCTTTTCTTTCACAGTGATCCTACCAAAAGCGCGGAGGCGGGCAGTGACAAAGGCGGCAGAAAAATTCTTTAACATCTCCGAAGTTGTGAAAGAAGCTAGGAGAGTCATCTGGATTCCACCAAAACCTAAAGTTCCCAGTGAAATCCAATATGAAAAGGCAAAGCTGAGAAGCAGCTGAGAACCTTATTGTCAATGAAAAACATATTTTTAAAAGTACAGGTCATTTTATTGAACAGAGAGGTCAATGCAAACACGATGTTAAAATGCACTTCCTGATCTTAGCAGAAAATTTCAGGAGATTTATGTTGTCTGATGTACACCTTTTTTGAAAATGGATTTTAGCTGATTTTGAAGTATCTTCTTTAATACCAGTGCAGTTGCTTACAACAGAGAATTCATTTCAAAAAGGGAGCAATATGAACAAAAAATACCCCACGCTTTCAGTATTTCACCCCTTCATCTATTTTACCTTCCGTATTTTCAGTAGGGATTGATCTGACTGCTTCTGTAAACAAACTAGAAAGAATTCTGAAATAGAAAAGCAAGAGAAACGGCTTCGAAAAAGCCCTGCAAGTCCTAGGGTGTCATCCATGCCTCAAGATCCTCAGTGTTTCTGTTGGAACGTTGAGCATAAGGTTAACCACTCGTCCCGAAAAGGGAAGATTTAATCATGACTGCGGAGAGTTCCGTTTCGTGGGGCAATGCTTATCTGTGCTAAGTCAAACACAACATCCCATTTCCCAGATAAACCACCCACGAATCTTCACATTTATTGGAAGAGAAGAAAAGTCCTTTGAAGACCCAATCAAAGAATTTAGTGGTATTTCCCTTTAGATATATAAACAGGAATTGGCAGATATGTATTCGGAACCATGCTGACAGCAAAATCGAGTTTAGAATCAGAATTAATCTGTGATAATCCATTTTCGTTTTCCTGTTTGCACTGAGGATGATTTCTCAAATCACATATCCTGCTTAGAGAAATAAGATTTCTGCCTTAAAATTAAAGGGCTTCAGCACTAGCTTCTGCCATTCCAGAAGCTCCTTGAGACAGTGGCCATATAAATGAGGACTTGAACGTCCCAAGAGACAAGAACTCTGTAACAAGAGAAAATCTTAGTGTTGATATCCCAGTAAACTGGGTCAGTTCCTTGGCTGTGGCTTAACCCAAACTGTACTGAAGTCAAACCTCTCCGCAGTGTTCGCTGCATCAAAACTCTTCATACCAGCTGAAGACACAACTGATTTTTCCTATTCTCAGGAGGGAAGAGGTAACATTTTGCCAACATGAAGCATTTGGCAGATTTAGGATTGGGCACATAAACGCACGGACTGTGGTCACACACAAAGACCAGACTCACTTTACAGCCCAGCCTTGCTGCGTGTGGGCAGATCAAAAGCGCATTCCCAATCCATACGTGTGATGAACACGGCTGACCGAGCGCTGACTGTAGGATCCCTGGGAAACCTGGAGGGTTTCAGATCAGCCTGGGATCTGAGTGCTATGAATCCGTACCTCAAGGCAGTCCTGCTTCTCAAAAGAATTCTCTGGCACTTCGTGGTATGGAGCAACACACACACTCACGCTCTCACAGATACAAGTTTATTATAATGACTTTCAAGAACAAAATCCCAAAATCGAAATTTTGACTGGTCGGGTATTGCAGCAGCAGCAAAGCTGGTGAACAAAGCTGCAGGGGGATAGAAGCATGCAATACCACAGCCAAACATTTCTGGGGTGATCTTCCAACAGCCTTCCAGTGCTTAAAGGGGGCCTACAGGAAAGCTGGAGAGGGGCTTTGGACAAGGGCATGTATTGATAGGACAAGGGGAAATGGCTTTAAACTGAAAGAGGGGAGATTTAGATTAGAGATAAGGAAGAAATTTTTCACTCTGAGGGTGGTGAGGCAGTGGAACAGGTTGCCCAGAGAACTTGTGGCTGCCCCATCCCTGGCAGTGTTCAAGGCCAGGTTGGACGAGGCTTTGGGCAACCTGGTGTAGTGGAAGGTGTCCCTGCCCATGGCAGGGGGGTTGGAACTGGATGATCTTTGAGGTCCCTTCCAACCTCAACCATTCTATGATTCTATAACATTAAGTTCCACTCCTCTCTTTAAGACTGGATATAAATATCTTCATATAACTTCTTAACATTCAAGAAGATACTGTAATTAAAAAAAAAACCACCACTGAACAAAAACTGTCTTTAACTAAACCACTGTAATTACTCTCAGTTAAAATGATTCTGCAGTTTTGGGTACGGCCGGCGCCAGCTGGGTCCGAAATGCTGTTGGTAGGGAAAACATGCAGAGCCTGGGGCATGAAAGCTATTAGCAGCTGCATGAAATCTTGCACCATCGCTCCCAGAAGGAATGTTATCTGATATAACTAATGCATTTCAACATGAAACAACATGAACAATCTCACCTACATTTATAACCCAGTACATATGAATGTGTATATATACTTTTGTTCAAAACTTACTAGGTATTTCATATCAAGAATAGCTGTTCAGTTCTAAAAGGAGGAAAAAAACTTACGACAGGAACGATCAAGACCTAGCATCCTACATAACAATAGAGATGATAGCCTCAAAAAAAGCAAAAATAAGATCCACTGGCAGAGCCAGTACCCTTTTAGATCAACTGGTAAGGCAAGAGAAATTAGACCAGCCCTCAGGTGCTTCTGCTCTTGCTTGGAGAAGGCCATTTTAACTAAAGATAATTTTGTTTTTAAAATGGTAAATAAGTAACCGAAATAAAATATCTCAGAAAACAAGAGCTCATCAAGAAAAATGCTTTTCAAAGAAAAAAGTTTCAATTTCTTAAGGAGGAAAGGAGACATTCTCCCATGAAAAATTTAACCTAATTCACAGCCTGATTTTCCATTACAAATGAAGTTTTGACAGCAACTTTTCCAAATAATCATTTTAGGAAATATGGACACAATGTCTGACTTACAGACCCTGGGGAAGCCACTTGGTGTTTCCCTTCTCAGTCTGATATAGAACCATATAGATACACATATCCTTCGTGCAGCACCTAGCACAACTGGACCCACTCTCAACTGAGCCTACTAGATGGGATTAAAACCTATGAAATAAATAAAAGCAAAAGCCCTTTTTATGTTACCAACAGTACTTTACTTCAAGGAGTATATCTAATTTTTTCAATTCTAATTTTACTCATTGCAGAAAGGAATATTCCTGTATGACTGAGGACATTTCCCTTTACCTGTCTGATATACCAGTGTTGAAACACCAGCTTCCTTTTTGTCTTGACTCCTGCAACGTACTCAGCTACTTCATGGATAAGCAATATTTTTTTCAATTGATAGGAAATCTCTTTTTTGTAACATATAGAGAACAAAAACTTGGCCACCACTTAACATTTCACAGAAACCTAAAGAGGCTGTTATTGCGTTAGAGTTATTTTCAGGTTAAAAAAAAAAAAAAAATGAACGATAGCAAAATGGTCTAAGGGTAAGTCTCCAAACCCAAGAATGATAGAGAAATAAACGGTCGTTGACCTAAAACACAGTCTGTTTGTCTTTCCATGGACAGGAAAAGGCTCAGTTCCATGGTATGCCATGAGGAATATGTCCATTTGATGCCTGTTCTCCACAACCCTGTAACCTTGGTGCAAACACTGCACCAATCAAACAAGTATCCACCTACCCAAGTATGTGATGACTTATCCCTGAGTAACTTCTTGTTACCGGACTCTATCCTCGGATTCCCAGAAGCCGCTGAACACAAACGTGTCCATTTCCCCTTCACCTTTTAAAACCCATCAGCACTGCCCTTACGATATGCCTGTTTCGTGTATCCTTCAACATCCCAACTTCCTATTCTCTTTATAAATTCAAATCTCCCTGTACTCAGTTGGTAACAATGCAAATTTTGTTAAGCCCCAAAGAATGTTTCATATGATGGCAAATTCTTTCCTAATCCTTGCCGTAAGACTAATAATTTCAACGTGTACCAAGTTGCAGGATATATTTTTTTCTCAGAAGTATTGAAAAAACAGGTTATTTTTTCAGCCACGCACTTCTCTCTTCTTTTCCCAAGTGCCTCAAGACACAGATTGAAAACATACCTGCAAACATCAGCTCTGAGACATCTGGTTTGACGTGGAGACATGTAAAGAGTGGGAGAGCACACTGTGCATTATTGATTTTCTCTTTCATGTTGCTCAAAGTCGTGTCCATTCTCTGCATGAAAAGAAAGACATTATGTTCAAACAGATCCTACAAAGGCCTGCTGATGTTTGGGAGCCAACTCATTCCTCTGAAATCCTCAAAGAGACAGAAAGTAGACAAACGGAGTTACTTCCAAGAAAAACAGACCAGAAGAAATTGTAAAAGGCAGTAAACTGCTTGAATAGCTTTTAAATGAAATAAGCACGCGTTACAGAATCCAAAATAACGGCCAAAAAGAAAACAGTATTGCTGGACAAAGCAAGTTCTTTCCCTTTGCTACTGTGAAAGATGAAAACAAGGAAAAACTTCTTAGGCAGAACTGCCATCGATGACCACGTAATGTTCTTCAACCTCTGCTGTTTCTGAAAAGTCAGCAAAGATAACTAAGAAAAGCAAACAGACTATTAAAAGGCTTACATTTGCTAATGAGGGATCCGAATCTCTCCCAGAAAATATTCGGGAGCCTGCAATCAAGAAGGACTGAAAGTCATTACGACACAAGAGTACTAAGATGTGTTGTCTGTGAATTAGTGTCAGGTTCAGATTTAAGCTAAGCATCTGCGCATTTGTTTAACTCCTTAGTGCACAGGGACCTCACCGGATCATCAGCATCCCTTCCTCGACAGAAACTCAC